AGCTAAATAGGAATGCTAAAGTTCCCGTTCCACTGAAAAAAAAAGAGAGAGATGCACTTACCCTTTCCAAACAGCAGGTTTGCACAGGGCTAATAGCACAAGGCAGTGGCCAAGGCCTTCTATTAGTACCACTTCCTGCAGATCCAGGTGAGATCACTTGAAGCAGGGAGCAAAGGTAATTTTCTGCCACTTAGCAGCTTCCTGATCTTAGCAGCTTCCTGATCTTAGCAGCAATTGGGGCCGAGGAGCACAGAAGAGTAAAAGTTACTCTAATGTGCATAGGCTGCGATTATTTGTAAGGCTCTGCCATCTGCAGAGAAACCCTCCTCTCCCCTTCACGCCTTCCTTCCCTCCTGTGCAGCTCCAGGGGAACAGCCAAGGCCGGAGGAGCTGACCTCGAGTCTTGCCCTTATAATTTTTCCAGTGTTTAGAGTGGTAAACGGACAAACAAGTATTTAGGAACAACGCTCATTTCCCGTCTTCTTTGGCAGCGTAACGCTTTGGCGCGTTCCAGAAAACTCTGCGTATTTCTTACACTCCTGCCATCCGTTTTCGTGTCACATACTGGTGTGGCTGCTTCAAAGGATTTGGCTGTTCATGTCAGCAGCTGTCATGCAGCAAAAGCTACCTTTGACTCTTTTATTACAAGTCCTGGAGATGGGCTGAGGGAGACAGTTGAGGCTCAGCGGTGTGCTCAGTGCTCGCACATGTAGAAATATATCTTATTATTCTGCACCACCAAGTGGCCAGATGGTGCAGATATTAGAAGACACCTTTGGATCCAGGCTTGCTACATTAACCCAGTCAGGTCTGGTTATGTTATGGAAGTTGATACTGGCCCAAACTGGCAACTAGAAAAAAAATTCTGATTATGAAGCCTCCAGAACTACTGTGGTTCTCATGTCAAATGGAGCTCTTTGTTGGGCTGCGTACCTGAAACTCAGGTATGTTTTAAATATTTCAAATTAGTAACTCAAAACTGGTCGATGGTTCTGTAAATATGAGACCAATATTTCTGAATGTCAATGAAGTGGTTGTGTCAGAAGTAGAAGAGAAAGCACATATCTGCGGCCTTTACCATCTCTTTGTGGTTTAATCCTCCTTTTTTTAAAAACGGGGGGGGGGGGGGGGAAGATGGCATTTCATCCAGAAAAATACATTACATGGTCTAAGTGGGAGCTATTTTCCCATTCTTTTGTACCTTTTGCTCCTTGTCCACAGGAGGGTTCAAAGCTGAACTCATACATAGTCATTCTAGACATACAAATGAGAGCGAGGTCTGATGCTGGCCAATGTTATTTGTCCAAAATCTCCACATGACATAAGAGCTGATCCCAACTGATAACATTAATATTGCATTTAATATACAGTATTGATACTGTAACAAGGCAGGGAGAGATCCCTCATTCTGTTTCTGGGAACATCAGTTCATTTCAAGTCATCAGGACATTTCTCCTTTCAAGGACTTCTGCTTTCTGCTCTTTCCAAATCCCATATGGGGAGGGGAGTTAATCCTGCCCATCCCTACTGAACTCACCATAGAGCTCCTTTTATGTATGGAGCTCCAGTGAACAATGAAGCAACTCAGCTTCATTCTCAAGATATATGTTATCCCTGTAAACCTTTAACAAAAAAATGCAGTCCTGCAGTATGTTCTAGACTTTTGCACGCTTCATTCCACCTATAATTTTACATATAAAATTGACTATAATTCACAATTTATGGCTAGTTTAGTCATTGCAGATTCTCTTCTTTATCTGTATTTAGTATTTTATCAGTCTGCAGATTGGACCGATCAATGTGCAAGTACAAAAGAAGGTTACAGCTGGTTCTGTAACTAATTTTCAAACTTTTTTTAAAAATAGACACAGCATGTATGTGGCATAGGTGAAAGTGTAAGTAATACTGGGCTAACCCAAACAAGAATGTATACATTGTAGGTATGTATACATACAAACAGAAATGGCAAAAATAATCTGAACTGCAGAGTTAGGTAACTAAGAGTGACTATTTCAGCTAATTTTTTTGCCTGTTCCCTGGCCAATTTCATCATAAAAAGGGAAGCTTCGGAGTCAGACAGTTTGAATATTGTATTTTTGTCTCAGTTTTGGGAAAGTAAATTTCTCTCTTCCTCAGTGCTTTATGCCTTTGTGTATTTCAATGGACGCCACACTTTTAACCTGCCTGAGTATCTCGATCGGTCCTTTGGTTTCTGAGTATTTAGGTCCCTAACTATTTTTTGGTGCCGAGCCCTGTAGCCATATTCAGACAGCATGTGTCACCTGTGTCCCTGCTTCTGGAAATCTGTAGTTCCCCATTGCATGTGTCACTTTGGTTCTGTGAATTGAGCTTTGGAGGCCTTCGAAGAAAACTCCCTGACTTGGGCATATTTGGGGTTGGACACAGGCCATACACATAGAGCCTTAATGCTTGTGTTTCTTTGGAAAGTGGAATTTTTTAAGTCTCTCGTAAGCCCCGAGGTCACGGTAGCAAGCATCGGTCCTGACCTGTGTGTGCTCCCTGATAGCAGAGGAACTGAGAAGTAAAATTGGGATGGAGGCACTCGAAAGGCTCAGAGGGGTTTGATGTATGTGCTCACCATTCCTAATATGATGCACAGCAGTACGGGAGAAATCTAGCAGGGATAAAAGCAGATGTTGAAAAACTAAACACGAATGCTGGAAACGTAACTGTGCTTCTGATTATTTAAATAAGAACAAATTAAGAAGGAATAATAAAGAGGAAAGGCGTTTGTTTGGAGTGCAGTAATGCCTGGAGACCTCTGCCACGATCAGAGCAACATTGTGCTGAGCACGCTGCGAAGAATTAGCAAAAGATCACGCCAGGAGGACTCGCACACCAAATAAGAAAATCAGTCAAATATGATCAGCTGATGCTGAGAAACAGAGAAAGATGAAGCGACTTGTCTGAGAATTGATTCCAGTTTCATCCAGGGCACATCTCCACCTTTGAAAGCAGTGCCACGCTGGAAGGAGAAAGCGTTGGCCACCACCGAGGAGTGAGAAGTCACGAACTGGATGTCGCGTTGTGCTGCCAGTGGGATGGATCCTCGCTTCGGCAGTCTGCAGCCTGCGGCCGGGATGGCAAAGCACACTGCGGGTGTCTCCGTATCGACCGCTCGGAATGCTCCCGCAGCGGCAGACAGCGGCGTGATGCTCGGGCTTAAGGATGTGCCAGTTTTAATCTTTGAAATGACAGCAGTTGGGGGGCGATATATTTGTCGATTTCAAATTGCAAATGACCACTTGCAAATGTCCTTGGACTCCAAAAAAGATAAGGCTTTAGTGCTTGAGCATTGCACTAAATTCAGGTTGAAAGTCCCTTCTTTCTGACGAGGTGGCCCAGGATGCCACCACCGCTCACGTACACTGGCAGGGACTAGTTACTGTTATTGCCACAGGAGCTGGAAGATTCGTGGTCCACCTCCAGTAGACCAAAGGTGCAGAATAAAGTGACAGATTCATTCAAAGTCTTCCCTCAACCTTGTGCCACATAGTTCTTTTCCTTTTGCACCTCAGGACTCAGTGAAGGTCTTTCCTCAAAACCATCACCAATTCAAGCTGGCAAAGCTGGATGCTTTGCTCGCCTCCTCTGCTTCATCCACAGGATCCATATGTCATTCCTGGGATTAAACCCTGGCACCAGTTGGAGTCAATGAGAGTTTTGCCAATGATTTTCAAGGCAATGAGGATTTCATCCTTTGTTCATCCTGTGCCGGCTGGGCTAACGATGTTCAATTAGAAAATGCTCTTTGTTCTAGTGCAGTTGAGAGGATTTTTGCCAATGATTTGAATGAGCATTGGATAAAGCTTATGGCTAAATCCAGTCCTTATGCAGAAATCCATGGATCCTACTGAATTGCTTTTCTCTCAGCGAAATTAATGGGAGCTGTATGAGAACATCTAAGGGAAGATTTAGTTCCTGTTTGTAACAATATGTTACCCCCTGATACTGGGCCTGCTTTGAAACGTTTATTGTTAAATCCATGTATTTTTGGTTATATCTCATTAAGAACATAATACAGCCTTGGAAAGTACATTCTGAAAGGGTATTACAACAGGATTGGGATTACTGTTTGTGAGACACTTTTAACTAGGGGGAAATTTCAAATTCAATTTACAGGAATGTCAAAGCACAATTAATATATAGGCAATGATAAGGCGAACATGCAGAAGTACACATTGATAGCACTACATCAACAAATAAACTTTTGGTGCTAGTAATTAGGTACACAAGATTATTATATGTTTAATTGACTAAAGTGACAATTTGGAATTACATCTAGTCACATTTAATTGGATTTGGAATCTCTAGAGGAAAGGAAACGGAGAGCAGTGTGGAGAGGCAGCCATAAAAGCAAACTGATTTTCTAAAGTCTGTTAAGACTCTGCATTAATATCCTTTGCACAGTAGTTTTTTAATATCTCTCAGTCTAGAAAGAGTAATGCAATGATTGTCACAGACAGTGGGAGTACTAAAGCATATCCAATTAGGTAGCAAGATAGCTGATTACTTTTAGTTTGGGGTGTTTTTTTTAAGATATAGTTTAATCAAAGGTGAACTATATCTGAGTTTGCCATAGACAAGTGTTAATTCTCAGACTGCTGAGCTACAGGATGTTATACATGTTGATGCTCTCCTAGAAGAAATGTACTTATAAGACATTCCACCCAGAAGTTCTTTAAAGCAAAAAAAAGAAACGCCAGACTAAAATATTGCATAGCAGTCATTAAATATTTGCTCAGAGTAAAATATGGAAAAGCTATAAAAAGAAAAGGCAGGGTTGTTTGCTTGCAGAAAGTTTGGCTAGCTAAAAAATGTTTACTAATGCTTGTCTTAAAGTTGGACAAAGACTGAGTGTTATGTGTAATCTTTTGATACAAACTTCATGTTACACTCTTTTAATATTACGTCCTTTAAATGTTGCTGTGTACATCCTTCTCTCCCTATACACTCATTTATTCTGCTTTTGTCATCAGGAGCGCCATGATTGCTGACTATATTTACTGGCTGACAGGAGGCACCAAGCAGCATATAAGCAACCTCATCAAAGAGTATTGGCAGGTAAAAATTGATAGCTCAATGAGGAAGGAGGTGCCCATCTCACTATTAAGACCAAAATGAAGGATTACTGCTTAAAAGACTGCCGACAAAGGTAGCTCTTGGGCATATCAATCAACAGGACACTATACAGTACTACCGTATTTATAATGAAGTAGATTTTCTTGGACTAATTTTAAGGGCAAAATTCAAGGTTGTTAACCCTTGGCTCATACTTCAATTTTATGGACTGCTATAAAATTTAATTCTGGATACTCTATAGTCCCCTAAGCTATTTTTTTGTGCAGTCTTCCTACCTTAGTGACACTTTCCTCTTGCAATTTGCATGATACTAATCCTCTGACACCTTTCCAAACTCTTCAACCGGAAGGGGAGGAAAAAATGACTGTAACAAATGGTCTCAGAGGAACCTAAAGTGCTCTGTGAAGGATGGCTAGGTAAGACCCCGGTCTACAAAGATTACTTATGTGGGGAGTAGACCATTGACTTCAATGAGTCTCATCTCATGAGTGATAGTTATTTGAGATGGCTCTTCAGCCACATCAGCACAAATTTAAGTTTCAGGGTACCCCCTTCTGCTCTGAGGAAAGCTCTTGCACAAACTTGGAGGTGAAAGGATGCTAGATCGTTTGCTGGGAGAGGCTCATTGCTGCAGGAGCGTATCACTGCCAGTAGTTTCCCAGCCTTCATCCCCATCCCTTCAAGCGACCATTTCAGAGTGAGTGCAACGTTTGGGCCTCAGGTGGTGAAAGACCCTTCTGCCTCCCAGAGTGTACCTGACCCTCAGGTCCTCCTTGTCCATACAAAGAATATAATGATACTAGGAAAAATATATGTCCCTTGCTATAAAATTTCAGAGTCTGATTCCGATCCCATTTATTTTGGGTTTGTTCTGTGAGAACATCTGTGACATCTGTACTTTATGTGAAGGGGTGCAAAATACTTCTGACATAAGCCAGAGTAATGAAGATTAGAATCTAATCTTTTATCTTCACTCAAATGGTAAATTCTTCCCTTTTAAAACTATTATTAGTTGTATTATTATTGGTAAAATGGAATAAATCTCAGTCCTAGGAGCTGCTGAATTTCAGAACTGCTGTGAGTGCAAAGTGCATCTCATTCAGTGAATTACCCACTGGGCTAGTGTTTGCAGTGCCTGTGAACTTTCTTATATGCTTTCCAGCAGAGAATTTCTTCTGTACAGAACAGTTTGATTTTTTTTCCCCACTGGGTGAGACTCGTTTAAAATCTTGAGTTCACAAACAGGTTTTGTGAAGGGGTCATTTCTTCGAATGGAATGTCTTTTTTTGTCTCTTAACACTGATATCCATTGACTTCCCTTCTTGATGTCATGGATGCAAAGCTCCAAAGAATAAACCTTTAAAGGAGAAGCTGTCATAGCTGTTCTCTCCCCCAGGGGTTCAGACTGCCCTGCTATGTAACAGGGCCGAAAAAGTGGCATAAAGGACAAGATTCATCACAATGCCTCCTTCTAGAGTCTAAATCAGAAGCTATGGTTGGGCTAAGGTGGGAATGAACCAGACCAGAAGTGGGGCTACTGAATCTCTTCCATCCATTATCATCATCATACAATATTAGGATCATCATACGAAATGATTGGGGCCATGATAGGACTCTGGTTCATCTCTACTTAAGTCCAGAGCTCACAGCTCGTTTCTCTTCCTGATGAAGAGTTCATGTGTGGGCCTCCCTGTACCCCGTGGTACCAAGAGGCCCCACTATGTTGTTTGTGCCCCATTCCCACCCCTTCCCTGCCTTTCTCTGGAACCTGAGCTGCCGTCATCTTTATCTGCAGAAGCTTTGAAACGTCAGTAGAGACCTAACTGTTTCTTTGATCCCCCACCGTGCTTGATTTTCACTGGGAGACAGAGATTGCTCTGCAATTTTGTGCCTTTTGTGCGTATGCCTCAGCGTGGGCTAGGCTAAGGATTCAGAGGTATCTGCGTGGTGACACACACGCAGTAGAGGCAGCTGGGTGCCCAGTACCGCTCCCACTCAAGTTAATAGCTAGCACTTAAGAAACACTGCTCACGAAGGTACATCCCCAGCACCAGTAACAACCTTTTCCTCCCCTCACTGATGAGTTCTGTGCGCTCAGCATCGGGGGTGACTTCAATGTCATCAGTGCACACAGCAGCAATTACGCACTATGATGTAGCATGTGACACTGCACTGGGACTTTCCACCACAGAGAGACCGAGCAGAGGTAGCATAATCTTTTTTATTAATATTCTCTCTATTTCACGGTGTAAAGCTGAAAATAACTTGTCACGACTATACATGCTCATGTGCCTTTGTAACCAAAGCAACAGCTATTGATGCACGCTTTTCTTGCTAACTACTCCTCTGCCCCAGAACTCGCTAGCGTTGGCTCACAACCGTGAGCAATATTTTCTGAGGAGGAAGGGAATAGATGGTGAACAGGACGCTTTGTTTTTCGCTTTTGTGAAGAAAGATTTTTGGATTAGATTTGTCACTCTTTGCTTTGATCAGCGGGTCATGTGTATAATCTTCTGTTGTGTCATTGACTACTTTTGTTTCTTCTTTTCACGATTCTTTTAACTGCTGGAAAAGGCTTTTCTTCCTCACAGCCTGTCTTCTACTTCTTTCATGGCTTCAAAACATTGTACAGACCACTCGGATCCTTCAGCTGACGTCTTTACTGCAAAAAATTCAGGCCCTTCATTCACATCTGCAAAGCTCTTTATTATTTCTCCTGCTTCTAAATCACTGTTTTTTCTCTCCTGATCTATTCCTCATGCTCAGAGCAGTCTTCATCTTGTCTCTCCTTTGGTTTTCTTCTCCTGGTTTTGGTTTTATGCTTTCCTTTGAACAACTTCTATCCCTGACATCAACTGCCAGGGTCCTGTTTCTTCAAAACTCTTCTTAAAACATCCTCAAATGGCTCCCCTCCTCATTATTATCTTTTACGTATTTTTTCTTCTTCAGCAGCGATCAGTTCCATGTGACTGTGTACCTCCTCTGAGGCAGACTGCAAGCTTTGTACTGTCAGATTTTTAAGGCCAAATGGGCTCATAGTGACGAATTATCTGACTTTCTGCGTAAAAACACCCCAGAATTTCACCCTTACCTTCCTGCATCGGTGCCAAAAGAGGCGAAGCAGAGACTGGTTTTGAGAAAGTTATCCAATCCCCGTTTAAAGAGTTTAATAATAGAATATTTACCATAACCCATCTAAAAGATTATTTGTTTCATGGTTGTCCCCTCTTTCTCCCCCAGTTTACAAACTGGGCTCTTGTCGAGTCCAAACTTCCAGCAATTTATATTAGGCATTCATCTCTGAAAGCTTAAAGATCCTTTAGTACTTGTTATCCTCTCCCTGTATACGTACCTATGGATCATGATCAAGGCAACTTTAAATATTCTTTTTGATTAGCTTTTTGATTAGCTTTCTTTGATTATCCCCTTTAAAGTAAATCATCTATTTCTGGATCTTCTGTACGGTGATATGTAATATCTAACGCCCTGTGTTGGTTTTGAATATTAATACCCACCTTCCATTCCACTCTGAGATAAGGGTGTAACGCTGATGAGAGGTGAAAAAGTGATTTGCAATAGATAATATTATTCAGTAAGTTGGGTCTTTTTCTCTGTTCAAATATTTTATTCCTCGAAAATATACGTTCCAAGTCAACATATAATCAAATGGATGAGCTTTTTTTTTTTCATAACCACTACAGAATATGCCCTGGACGATTTGTGTATTGGCTGTTAGATTAAAAATAGGCAAGTTAAATAGAGTTCATCACAACAAATAATAACGCGAAAGTTATTAAATTTATTATGCTAGATATCTTCAGAGTGGTAGCAGCAAGACAAAGTTTAAACTTACTTATTACTATAGTCAGGTAAGCTCCCTAGCATTTATTGTCAGCAGCGCAATTTCTCAGCTGGTAATAGCAAAACAAACAGTAGACTTGAGATATTTCATCCCATAGAAAGAGTTCCTCTCCAAGCTGTCTAGTTCTACTCACACCTTTGTAAACTATTTCCACTAGCTAAAAATTGTGCAATATACTCTGGATGTTTCATTCCATGAGGAGAAATATATCACGCCCATGCTACAATGTCAAAAATGCCTGACATGAACCTTGCAAATACCTTGAAAGTTACAGCCTGATTTCACCAATATCTGGCACAGACATCTTGGTATAAAGTGCCTTTATTACCTAATTTATAAACAGCTCAGGCTTAACTCATTAGCACACGACAAATTTAATTGCTTTCATTATTCCGTCGTGAAAACCATGTGGCCTATTTTATACAGAAGTTTCAGCTCTAGCATCCATTATGCATTTATATCCCAAGTCAATCCCATCGAGCCGAAGTCTTACACTCAGTGCCATTGCACCAGCAATGCATAAGTTGCAGAAACTAACAGAAGCCCAGGAAGGCATTTCCAAGCTTGTAGGTTCATATCTGTTTGCTTCCATAACCATCTGTACTAAAACCCTTCATTCCATGACACAGCCAGCCAATGTGTATTTGCTACAGCTCAAATGGAGACCTTTAACTTGCATTGGAGCAAACTGCGCTATTAGCTTTAGTTCCAGTTCAACCTCAGTGTTTTGGCCAAGATTGTGGCCGTCACAGAGCTGCTCTTAGCACATTGAAAATCCTGTCTCTGTGATCACTGCACACAGAGCTTGCAAACTTGTGTTTCTGAGAACATTTCTGTCAGCTAAACTCAACATCATGGAGAAAGCTTCCACTAGCACATGCATTGGCTGACATGGAAGTTTGGATATTCAGACATTTGTTTTGCTCTTTTGTTGCTGTTAAGAACATCAGGTGCTTCTGTTTCAAAAGTCTGGGCTCTTGCAAGCACAGAGCAACTCGCACATCACACAATAAAGCAAATGATAACCCAGTCCTGCAAGGCGGCTGAACACCTACGGTGCCACCATCAACGCTGTCAAACCCTTCAGAGCTCAGCTTTATCTCACACCTCATGGGGTGAT